AAATGAGACCTGAATTAACATATACAGAGCTGGATCGNGTCGGTAATCCATCAATACTATGTTTACTCTGGCTGTTGAAATTGGTGGAGTTGAATATTCAGGAACTGGTATGTATATATTCTGTGAATTATTGTGAAATATTTTTCTATTAACAATTTTTGTATAAACAATTGTATAAACAATTTTTATATTCCAGCTAGAAACAAAAAAGATGCAAAAAAAGCAGCAGCTAAAGCAGCATTACTGGCATTGTATAACTTGACCTATCCAGAAGATATTAATGAGCAGGATTAGATAACAATTGATTAAAACAATATCTAATTGATAGTTCATAACATGAACAATATCTAATTTAACGGAAACAAATGGAATATTTAATAATAGAATACGGAAAAAACTACAGCGAGAAAGCCATACAAAATTAAAATTCTGAATTGCCTCAAGGATGACGTTTATGAAATGAGTTGCCAGATGTTTCCGCCGCGCTTTTGAAATCTCTCGTGTCAAAGTATTTGATTTAAAAACTTGTTTAGAAATTAAGACTTTTTTTAGTCTTAAGACATGACTATTATTTTTTTATTTTTTAGAATTTGTAAAATTTTTTTTTGCTGCTGATTTTCCCAACGTGTTAATTTGTTTATATCGTTATATAATGAAAAATTTTAATTATTTAAGTTGTGTAAAAATTTTTGGGCAAAAAAATGAATAAATTATAAATTATTGTGCGATCGCAGTTGTTTAGCGACGCATGAACACGTCATTATTTGCAGATGGTTAGGTATTTGTATCAAAATATTTGTATCTCCCTAATATTATAATGTTGCGTTGACTTCACGTATTTAAATAAATTTAATAAAATAAGTTTTTCCACAAAATTTCTGAATAGATATTTAGATATATTCTTTATACTTTCTATATTTCTGTGAAATACACTAAGTAAAATAATAAATAAAGTTTCTTGTAAACGCTACATCAAATTAATTGTGCTTAAAGCTTGTGGAACACAAGACTAGCAAAAAGTCCAAGTCCCATTAAACGCAACGCTTACACATATTTTCTTTCTAGGAAGAGCGATTATGAGAACTTTCTATGTACGCTATTACTACTAAGCAGTATTAAAATATACCTATATATAAAAGAAAAGAAAAAAAGATGCTATCAAATTTGTAAATAACGTGTGCAATAGATCTTGTTGGAAAAAATCACATCTGACTTCCTGGGATGTATATCAGAAAACAACAACTGTGCTATAAACAAATCCATAATAACGTCACTCGGATTTCTGCGTTACAAGAATGTGAATCTACTTGATGCGTTCTGTAACACGTTCTTTAAGAGATCGGAAGAGCAC